ACAATTCAAGTTCTTGAAATATCTAAAGCTCCCATTATAAGTTAGAGAACAATTTCTATCTAGATTGCATTTAACCAATCTGCAGCTAATAGACCGAAACTGGGGATAGCAAACAAAACTGCAACACATGGACTGCAAGAAATCAAGTAGATAAAATGGTTAGTTAAATTCTTAATATAAGTAATATTTAGTGGTACAAGAATGTAACATGTGTTACCTTCTTCTTATCCTCATCAAGTTTTTGTCTCTCACGCTCAGTCAGTGCTTCACGTTTGTTTAATTCTTTGCTCCAGGTATCAAGTTTCTTTTTCTTATATTCCAACTCATGATTCAGTTTCTCTTGTTCCTCTAATATTCTCTTGACATTATGTTTTGCTATGTCCTGTATCTTCTTCGTTTCTGATAAGCGCAAAAACAAGTCAGCAAAGAACGGTAACAGAATGTCCAACAGGACCCAACAATACCATATATGATGTAAGAAAATCAAATAGTGCCCCATAAATGCAAGGGGAAGTTTAAAGCAGACAATTGTTTACACATGCTGATAAACACAAGCAAAACACAACCACAGAAAGGGGTGAGAACAAACCTTTAACAAAGTCATTGTGTAGCTTGTCTTTTTCTTTAAGCATCCTACTTAAAGACATCGTCTTCTCATTGTACTTGTACTGTGCTTTCAACAGGTTTTCATTTGTCAACTCAATTTTGTTGGCTAGGTTGGCCACCTCATCATTTCTGTTTTGAGCTGCTTCCTGGACAATGTCCGATACTGTTCTTAACTTTCCAGTTTTGCGAAGAAACTCCCCAATTGGCCCTTGGGAATGATAATCATCAGCACGTGCACACCACCCGTAGATGCTTGAGCCAGGCTGTTGCTTTCTTGTATTCCAATCCATTTTACTGCGATGATCTGTTTCAAACATTTTCTCAAAATCTGTCGCATTCCCCAAACCAGTCCAATCTGCATTAAAGTAAACCACAGCACATGTAGCTCGATCCTCTTCAGTACACAATGTATGAACTTCGGTAGGTCTAAATTGAGCAAACCTTCTCAACCAGTATCGAGAATCAAGATCTTTTGGGTCCTTTGGTTGGCTCACTATGTTTGCAATGATGCCAGTCCAAGGCCACACATAGAGATCTTCTTCCTTCTCTTGGTGAGCGACAGGTGTAGGCAAAACTGGAAGTTCTGTTGGGTCTGCTTCACTTGCTAGATCAGTCTCCAAATAGATGGCCAAGGCAAGGTGATTTGCCTTCTGTTTCGCACTCCTGTTAGCAGAACCTTTAGCCACTCCAGATGCATGCTGGAACAGTTCCTTAAACTTGTAATCCTGCTTCTTCTTCCCCACACAAAATGGGCATCTGAGAGCTCCATTAGGACCCTTTACTATATACATTCCCTCCCTTAATCGCTCATATGGTTTATCTTTGTAGTCATTGATCTCGGACTCACTAATATCGGATTCATCTTCAGAGCTGTAGTCCATGTGGATTGCCTACAAGCATCACAAACCATTGTTAGAAAACAGACTTGATTTCGCTAATCCAGAAAACAGCAAACCCGCTAAGCTTGCATACTTGCAAGGAGACAGCTTCAAGCATGATTTCACTCCGAAAGGTCAAAGCAATAAAAAAATGAAAACTAATGAAAAGTGCTTGAAAACTTTGAGTTTTAATAATAAGGACAAAATAAAGGGTAAAGTGAATAATACCGGATTGATTTTTTAGTGTAAAAATGTGGTTTTTCATCAAAGTGAACAATACCTGAAGCTTTTCGTTAAAGTTCCCATAAAAGAATTGAGCAAAAGAAAATATTGAAACTAATGAATACAAAAACCCAAGAAAGGGAATTGTTTTTGTGCAAATTAATTACTCAAGAATCAAAAAGCTTCATATTTACAAAACCAGATTTCTCTAACCATTGTTCTGAACTCTAAACATGTTCTCAACAAAGTAACTGAATCTTCAGTAAAACTCATCCTTCAATCTTCAACCGGATTAACTACATTTCATTTGCAATAAAAGAACTACATATTTCGCAGGAAAAAAAAAAAAAAAAAGATAGGCTCAAGCTCAATGACGAAAATAACTAAATAATAGGATTCATCTCCGGAGCTGTAGTCCATCTGGATTGTGTACAAGCATCACAAATCAACTTTAGGAAACCGACTTGCTTGCAAAAATCCGAACATCATGAAACCCATTACTGGAAAAATTGCAAGAAAATAGTTTAGTGGTCATTACAGCATCAGTTTCACTCATAAGTCACAGAAAAGAAGTCATCTGAAACTCGTATGTTCAATCAAATGGCTTAATCGTGTTTACAAATGTCTGCGGAAGGGAAATTAGCGCATGAGTTTCTCTCACTAAAATTGAACGACGTCACCTTCCCTACATTGCTCAATCACACAAGTTGTTTTTGAAATGCCAAACAAAAAAAATACTGCTCCCCAAAACAAAAAATTTCATCGCTAACCACAAATTTGGAGCCGAATTCAACATGCAGGTAGCATACGATCAGCATAACAAACAAATTTTTCAGCAAGGAAGTGCAGATTGTAGTGAGAGAAAGAGAGACTTACAGTAGAGAGAGAGAGAGAGTGCGACAGTGAGGTCCAAAAGCGTCTCTTTCTCTTCAGCTTCTTTGTTTATGTGAAAGGTGAGCACACACCATGCTCACCATTTACTTAATTATTTATCCAAAGATTAAATTTATTGATAAAATTTATAAATTAAATGATATATCATCAATATAAATTGGAACATATTTATTAACGCTTGAGTAATAAACCAATCATCAATTTTTTAATTTCTAAAATTTTGTCAGTAAATTTAGTTTTTTTAACATTATTTTTATTTGTCATGTGTTTTTTTCACCTAACTTTCACATTAAATGTTAAGCTTTCAACTTTGAAAAACTAAAATTAAGTAAAAAATACGTATCGAATAATTAGATGAATGGTAAAATATATTTAATATGCGGGAGAGAGACGGTCGGTCCTCCTAATTTTCATTACTTTTGTTAATTTTAACTTCTATATGGGCTCTTTTGGGGTCAAACGGTAAAATACATTTCTAACAAATAACAATTACAAACGTAAAGGCCAAGATACATGGTAAGCACAAGAAAAGAAAATGGACCACAAAACACAAAAAAGCCCAAAGTCAGCTTTGGAGTCCAGCGCACACAAAACACAAAACCCTAAAGAAGCTACATTCCCTAGGCTGCATTTGGTATGCGGACATCGGAAATGCATTTCTTTCTTAGACTCCATTTGGTATGCGGAAATTAAAATTATTATTAGTACTTCAAAAATTTCATTGTACATTCCAGATTTTTTATATTTGGAAAGAAAAATACAATTATGAGGAGTGTAGAATAAGATTTTTAAAATGTCAATAACACTTCCCTGTCGAAATTGGAAATGCATTTTCATAAGCTTTTCTATATTTTTTTTTCTTAGGCTGCATTTGGCATGCAGAAATCAAAAAAGCATTTTCAAGACAATACGAAAATGGTTTTGTGTTACGTCCAAACTGCTAAGAAATAACTTCGATTTTAATGACGCATGTATTCTCTTACAAAATTATTTAAATTTCTAATGAAAGAACAAATTAAGCATTTAAACCTTAAAGATGAGTGCTTTTATTATTGAAAATTTTGATTTGAATTTATAAAAAGAGAAAGATGTAAAGGGGAGTTTCAAACATCGAATATGATCTTACAATCTAATGCTATTTTTTTCACTTGTAAGTAAGAGGTCTTAGGTTTGAATCTCGTGGATGATAAATTTGATACCAATTAGGTTGTCCATTGTATGACTTAGCCGAATTTACTCTCCTTAGTGTAAAATATATTGTTGTAATAAAAAAACATTGAATCTGATCTTATCTGTGGGACCCCCTTAGTTGTAGAGGAAAATGACAATTGAAACCATCTTACTTTTTTTTTAAGAGAAAATTGTAGTAATAGTCCTTTAATTTTAACTCACAAATTAAAACTATAAAGTTTCATCGCATGGGATTTACACAATCATTAGCCATATCGGTTGATTCATCCACATGTTAAACAAAATCAAAGCGAGAACAAAGAACAGTTGCTCTTGGTGAAAAGTCGAGGCCTAGCCAAGTATTCCACCAAAGCATATATATCCTTATTGAACTTCTACATCCCATCCTCCTTCTTTGCTTGTTCTTCTTCTTAGTCATCGAATGACTTAATGTGGTACCAATTAGTCCATGCCAAACGAGCCCCATAAAATCTAATATATTTAGAAGTCCGAATTGAATGCTTAAATGTCGATATAATTAATTAAGTGACTGACTCCAACAACGCATAGATCAAGCCTTTGTTCCCACCTTATACTTCGAGTGTTCACAATACCCAATCACACCCCAACACCTAATTGGTTATTAAATTAAATATTTTTATTTTATGCAATTTGGTTCGGTTTGACTCAGTTCTAGATAGAATCGAAACCAACCGTTTTTTAGCTTGTAGTTTAGTTTCAAACCTAAACCATTTCAAAACTGCAAAAATCAAATAGTTTAGTGCGGTCCAGTTTGGTCCTTCCTTAGGAATTGGGATCATTTTTGTGAAGATCCCATAGATTTGTCAATCATATCCCTTCATCGTACATCATAAACTACGAGAATTAACAAATATAGAAGAATTTTTTTCAAGTAAAAAGGTATATTATACTGTAAGCCTGTGAACTACGAGAATGCCTCCAAATAGAGTCCCTTTCCATGAAGGTCACGAGCTCGTATTTAATGAAAATGTGAAGGAAATTAAATTAAACGGATGTGTCATATTGTTAATTGTAAATATTTTAAATGGTATATGTACATAATTTAGATAAATTGAAGCAAAAATCATGTTATAAATGTTTAAATGTAGAAATTTAAATTTTAACGAAAAAATAAGATTAAAATCGAGTTCCACGTAAAGTTATGTATTTTCATACAAGTTAAAATAGGGTGTCTTTTAACGCATCGGGAATGTCAACTACCCAGTAGTAGAAAGAGGGATTTCCCTCAGTCACTGGCTCACTTCTGCAACAGTCCGATAGGCCTGATTCGCCTGAAGGCACGTGATCGTCACCTCACCTCACCTCGGAACCAGTATTTAGGGCTTCCTACTGAGTGCTGAACGTTCTACTCGTTCGCCCTAAGAAGACGAAGAGGAAGACAGACCCATTTGCCCTCATCGACTGTCGCCCTCCAATGTAAGTCTCTCTCTTTTTCTCGCTACAATCTGCGCGCTTTTGAGCTGAAGATTTGTTTGATTATATCGATCTACTGCTGTTTTCATGTTGAAATGTGGCCTCAAATTTTGTGGGTTAGCGAATTCTGTATTTATTTTTGAGGGTTAAGTCCAGATTGTTGCCCAATTTTCAAAAGTTGATTCCAATCTGGTCCTATGCTTTTAAAACATTCCAAATAACAGATGTCTGATTTTCAAAACATTAGGTAGTTATTTGTAATGTTTTAAAAGGTTGAGACTAATTTGGAATCACCCAGAAAAAAAGGTTGGGTAGCTTTTTGTACTTAACCCTATTTTTTGTGGGTAACATTTTATTCAATTCGATTTCACATTTGAAATGCAGTTTATGAGATTGAAGATTGAAGCATAAAATTTATTTTTGAAATGTAGTTTATCGCATTTCAAAATACTTTGTTCAACGGGTTTTGTAAAATGAGGGAAACTGTTTAATTTTTTGGGATTTTGTTGAGAAACTGTTCTGATTCTTGAGTAATTTGCAGATTGAATTCATTAGTTTAAACACGTTTAAAGCCTTTGATTGTCTGTTGAATTTTTCCTTTTGCTCAAAATTTTTATTACTTTGACCTTTCGGAGTGACATCATGTTGTAATGGCCATTAAACTGTCTCCTATAAAGTATTCTGGTTTTGTGGGTTTGGAGTTTTATGGATTAGCCAAACTAAGTCCGTTTTCTAACAATGATTTGTGATGCTTGTAGACAATCCAGATGGACTACAGCTCTGAAGATGAATCTGATATTAGTGATTCCGAGATCCATGAATACAAAGATAAACCCTACGAGCTGTTGCGGGAGGGAAAATATAAAGTAAAGGGTCCTAATGGGACTCTTAGATGCCCATTTTGTGCGGGGAAGAAGAAACAAGATTACAAATTCAACGAACTCTTCCAACATGCTTCAGGGGTGGCCAAAGGTTCTGCTCTCAGAAATGCAAAACAGAAAGCCAACCACCTTGCCTTGTCAATCTACTTGGAGAATGACCTAGCCAGTGAAGGAGACCAAATACAACGTCCAATTTTACCGGCACCTGTCGCACAGCAAGAAAAGCAAGAAGATCTCTACGTGTGGCCTTGGACTGGCATTGTTGTAAACATAGTGAGCCAGCCAAAGGATGGAAAAGATCTTCTAGATTCTGGATACTGGATGAGAAAGTTTTCAAAATGTAAACCTTCAGAAGTTCATACTTTGTGGAACGAAGGCGATCCTGCTGCATGCGCTGTGGTATATTTCAGTAAAGATTGGAGTGGTTTTGGGAATGCTACTGATTTTGAGAAGATGTTTGAAACCGACTGTCAAAGTAAAAAGGATTGGAATGCAAGAAAGGAACAGCCTGGCTCAAGCATCTATGGGTGGTGCGCGCGCGCTGATGATTATCATTCCCAAGGGCAGATAGGAGAGTTTCTTCGCAAGACAGGAGAGCTTAGAACGGTGTCTGACATTGTACAGGAAGCAGCTAGAAAAAGAAATGATGTTGTGGCAAGCCTGGCCAATAAAATTGATATGACAAATGAGAATCTGGATGAACTGCGGTACAAGTACAATGAGAGGACACTGTCCTTAAGTAGGATGCTTGAAGAGAAAGATCGGCTGCACAATGACTTTGTTAAAGGTTTGTCCTGGCCCTTCTCCTGTGCTTTGTTTTTTGATGGGCATGTGTGAAGCACATGCTCGTGTTTAAATGTGCCTATGCATTTGTGGTGAATTTTATATCTTTGCTTGATTCTCTTATATATATGGCATTGTTGGGGTTCCTTGACGAACTGTTTTCGAGCTTATCAGAAACGAGGAAGATGCAGCAAATGGCAAGAAATAATGTTCAGAGAATATTAGAGGAGCAAGAGAAATTGAATTATGAGCTGGAGTCTAAGAAAAAGAAACTTGATACCTGGAGCAAAGAATTAAACAAACGTGAAGCAGTGACTGAGCGTGAGAGGCAAAAACTTGACGAGGATAAAAAGAAGGTAACATATATCACATACTTGTACTACTCTATATTTTGCATTGTAATAATTTAAGGTAAGCATTGAATCTACTTGTTTACCAGCAGTCCATATGTTGCATTTCTTTTTGATTTACCTGTATTCTGTCAATTAGCTACAAAAACAGACGAATTTTGTCTAGTTGGATTTAATTTTATTAGTTAATCAGGTCTGTAGATATTTCAAGAATTTGAATTGTCAAATTCTATAACTTGATGAAAGCTGTTTTACCTACTCAATCATTAACTGTTCCAACTATAGCTTAATTAATGGAGTTGGAACGTACTAAATTCCTATGCAGTTATAGGAGTCTGAAAGAGTTCTACACCTCTATAAATGGGGCTAAATGTATGCATGTTTAATCAAGTAGTATTAGAATCATTTCCTGTCTGTATAAGATTTAAGTCATACCCAGTTTCATATGTGATTAATGGGAGACTGGAACAGTTTGAGACCTCAATAGAAGGGGTTAATTGTCTGCATTAGGAGTTAAGTAGTAAACAGTCCATTTGTCATAATGATTCATTATATCCATTTAATTTATGGGATGCATCAAAATTATGTGAGTTCTGCTTCATATTGGTTTTTATTTTATGGAGGTTTCAATATCCAGTTTGGTTTGTAAATGGGTCAAGAGTTTATCGTCATAATCATACAAACTAAGCTCCTGTAAACTTGTCTAGTAATTCAAACACAGCCATGTGCTAAAAAAATCAAATTTAGAAATGCACAGCCGGTAGGTAAAGCCGTTGCTTGGTTTGTGTTCTGGGTACTAAAATAGTTTCTGCCCTTCCAGAATGATGAGAGAAACAATTCACTCCAATTGGCTTCCGAGGAGCAGAAAAAGGCTGATGAGAGTGTCTTGAGGCTGGTTGAAGAGCAAAAGGTGTGAAATGTAATGTTAAGCTCAATAGGAAAATTTCCTTGCTATATCTGTGTTTCTATGGTTTTCACTGACTAGGAATCTGAACTTTTCAGAGAGAAAAAGAGGATGCCTTAAATAAAATACTTGAGTTAGAAAAGCAACTGGATGCTAAACAGAAGCTAGAGATGGAGATTGAAGAGTTAAAAGGGAAATTAGAGGTGATGAAGCATCTGGGGGATCAAGATGATGCTGCGGTTCAATCGAAGATAAAAGAAATGGAAGATGAATTGGGGGAAAAAGTTGATGAACTTGAGGATTTAGAATCTCTAAATCAAACTCTTATCACCAAAGAACGCCAAAGCAATGATGAGTTACAAGAAGCGCGTAAAGAATTAATAGCGGTATGCATTTCTTCCTCCATTTTAGTTCGAACTTTGTTTATTGATAGTTATATTTATTTTATATACCCTGTTATAAGGATGCCCACACTTTAAGAAAAGTAAGGACCATATTGTTGGGGCTGGACCCACACTGTGGTTCCACAATGAAAACTGTACGGTTTTTTAAGTGCTCAATTAAGATCATCCAAGAAAACCAACCGAAGTGGAACTGGTTTAGCCATTTTGGTTATCATCTGATCATTACTTGGTTTGTTGAAACACTGTTCGCCAATTTCTTTGTCGAAAGACAGTAGGTTTTAGATGTTTTTGATTTTTCGCGAGGATGATTGTTGGGAAGCCTTAAAATATATGGTTCAGAACATTGGACCCTTCACATTTTACTTTTTTCTTCATAATCTTTTGTTTCAGTGTATTGACAGGGTTTATTAATCTAGGTGGGGAAGAGTAAACTTGGCCAAAAACATGAGAGCTGATTCCTAAACTCTAAATGGTTACAGTTTATTTAACATAATTTTACTCTCTGGTAGATTGGCGGGATCCCACAAACGTGAAGTCACCTTTATAATGGTGGACTATATCTGTAAATGTATGTTTGTGTGTGTGGATAGAGATATTCTTTTATTAGATTGTCTCACAAGTTATGCTTCTTGATTATCAAACTGGAATAGTGACAAGGTGGAACCATCTTAATTTTGTACTTTGATTGATAGTTTGGCAATACAACGCACAAGAACCCATTACTCTCTCTCTCTCTCTCTCTCTCTCTCTCTATATATATATATATAATAATAATAATAATAATAATAATATAGTATATACACATGTTTATTTATTTGTTTTGTATAGACACAAACTTATGCATACTTTTGATATTCTATGAAACGTATATCCCACTTTCTAATGTTAACATAGTGACTTATTATGATTATTCTTTCCACACTACATTGCCTTGGAAGGTAATGGAATCGGAGGCTGGGAAAAGTACATTAAGAAAGAAAAAGAAATGGCCAAAGCACTTTAGGGTGATGAGTTAGTAATCTATGATAAATTCTGTTTAGTAATCATCAAATCTCACGTGCTTTTTGTTTGGCATAATCTTGTGGCTCAGACCAGAGTATAATATAGAGTTCGGAAATATGCTGCTAGTTGTGTTTTCTGTTTGGCATAATTGTTTGGTTCATACTTATAAAACGAAAATACTGGAAAAATTATTTGTAATTAGCATATTTTCATCTTATGATAAAGAGAGATAATGAAGTCATGAAAGCTCTTACTTGTTTATCCAGGGTTTGAGTGAAATGTTGAGTGGTCGATCTAATATTGGGATAAAGAGAATGGGTGATCTTGATCAGAAGCCCTTCATGAACACATGCAAGGAACGATTCACTCTTGAGGAAGCACAGGTGCAGGCCTCCACTCTATGCTCCTTGTGGCAGGATAATCTGACAAATCCTGATTGGCATCCTTTCAAAGTTATAACAGTCAATGAAGAGCCCAAGGTATGTCTTTTGAATACCATCAAATTGATGGTTTCCGAACTCATTTATTAACCAACAATGAAAGTGGAGATGTGAACTCCCAACTTGCAGTGATATCATGATAAAAAGCTTATCTAGTAACTCGTTATTTCAAAACACACATACACACAATATTCCTATTTTGTTTTCAACTATTTCTTGGTCTTTTAGTAATATCAATATACCAATTCTGAAACATAAATTAGTATTTTGCAAGAACTAGGCACCCTTTCTTTGTTGATCTTTCCTGCACTCGAGATTCTTTCATTTCCCACTATCACCCTACCTGTCTACAAAATATTCAAACATGGAACAACAAAGCCTTATCCCACTAAGTAGGGTCGGCTGTATGAATCCTAGAACGCCACTGCGCTCGGTTTTGCACCAAGTCTTCTGTTAGCTTGCATTTTGACATTGATATGTGTATATATTTTTTTCTTATACCTGGGCATGAATCAGAGTAGCCTTATTAATAACTCCGTAATATGAGTGTTTTTTTTCCTCTGTTTTGTGTTCAAATATATTGGGTAAAAGTTTTGCTGAATAACAATTTCCTTATTGAGGATACAATGAAGAAATTTTTTTAGAGATTCAAGTTTTTATGCATATGAAGATGCTATATGTAATTATGTTACTGTTGTGTTAAATCACCCCTTCATTAGGACAATTGGAAGGTGGTTAGAAGATGATTAATTTGCTGAGATGCAATGTGATGCAGGAAATACTTGATGAGGAAGATGAGAAGCTACGGAATCTGAAGGAGGAGTGGGGCAATGAGATACATGAGTGTGTCGTTACAGCCTTGAAAGAACTTAATGACTACAATCCAAGTGGGAGGTATGTTATCTCTGAACTTTGGAACTTTAAAGAAGGAAGGAAAGCTACACTGAAGGAGGTTATCAGTTTTGTCTTAAAGAGTATTAAGACACTCAAGCGAAAGAGAACATGAAGTGAAGGTTAGTTCATTATTATTTGGAAGTTGAATTTTTCTCAATATATTGGATTGTTGTCCTCTTGTTGTGGGCAATTTGTTAGATTAAAAAAATTTCTGTTTTCGTATTGCCTTGTCGAATTAACAATTTCCTTTTACTGTTAATTTCATTTTCTGGTTTGATGCATTCATTATTACACCAATGATTTCAGCTGTTATTTAAAATGATTATTAGAAATTCGATAGAGACATACATTTGACGTCCTTTGCAATACATCAAACCACTTTAGATATTGCTGTTGATTCGTGTTCCATTTTAATCAGTTTGTCTTTTGAAAATTAAGAGGCTCAAGTTTGGAGACATGTTTCACTCAGTGTAGAGAATATGTAGTTTGTGGTGGGGATAATAGTTGATTGAAAAGCAATTCTCATGCCTTACAAAAGAAAAACAAAACAGAACACATTTATGTTTAGCAATCTCTGTCTAGTAGAATTCCTGTTAGAGCAAGTGTGGTGGTTTCTGCCTTTCTGGTGTTCTTGTATTATAAAGTTTGTAGGGGAACTAGTAACTTATGATTTTCTTCCGTTCGTTTTTATATCTCTATGCATCTTGTACGAATTCAACCTAAGCATATTGTTGTTGCAAACACGCAACTGCGTTTAAATGACTTGAATCTCGAGGATTTGGGTAACACATTTGTGTATAGAATCAACTGTTGGAAACAAAACCATTCTTCCAACCATTGTCAAGATTTGTTTCTCACACAATGTGAGGTGTAGTGTGGCAGGCCTGGTAGCAGGAGGGCAGAAGAGGAAATCCAGAGCAGCGAGGGTCGATGGTAAATCTACAACCAGCGGTTGGATCGGATGGCAGGGAAATCATGTTTCGTAGGGACTCTACTTTGTCTAGTTGCATCTACTGTAGTGCTTGTGAACCTCTATTGATGACTCTATTGACTACGCTACTACTTTTGAATTATGAATGCCAAGAGAGTACCTCCTGGACAAAATAATTATAATTTGACGTTGTTGGATTGGAGATTCTGATTCCAGCGTGAAAATTCTGTTTCGAATCAGAAAATATTTTGGAGCAAGTTGGAGGGAAATGTGGTGCATGTAGCTATTTTGATTTCTGATCCAACCCAAAGCTCGGTTGAATGGTGCTTGTATTTTTAAAATGGAGGAGTTTGGAGCACTGTTCTAAAAACCTCTGCTTAGCTTCGGAGCCTGGGGCGTTAGCTGGCTGGCCACTGTCCCGATTAGTCCTTAGGCATTTGAAAATTAAGAAAATGCGTTTAGACCCACTTAGGCGTTCGCCTAGCCCGCCTAGGCATGCGCTAAGGTTGCTATTTTCACTTAAACAAAAAATTTATAACTTTCATTTGGCATTTTAATTTTTCAATAATGTTTTAGTGACTTGTTGAATATTTGGATGAACACTCATTATATGATTGTCCCTCATATTTTCAATAGGTTCTAATACTTTATAATTTATGTCATTTTATTTTGCAATTTATGTATCTCAATGCAATTATATGTGTTTTTTTTTAACAATAAATAAGTACTTAATTATATAATATATAATAAATTTACATAAATCTGTAATGTCTGTCTAAACCTCGGTCTAGCCACCTAGGCCCTAGATCCCAGCCCATTGTCCCCGATAAACGCGTAGCGTCTTTTAAAACCTTGTTTTAGAGGTGATTCAATAATTGAAATCATTCGATTCTTAGCTTGTCTTTTAAAAATTATCAAAGCCAAAATTCTCAAAAATCAATAATTGTTTAGATTCTAAGATTATCCGTTGTTTCATTTCTTATTTATTTTTAATGATAATATGTCGAGAAACATGCAAGTGATGGATCACACACTGGTAGATAATGATTGTATTCAATCTAATCTGTTCCCGTTCGCCATCTCTTTCCATTAGACAAAAACTTTCATGGCACATAATACTTGCCCGAGAGTTTCTCTACTAATTTTATAGGTGTGGATTATCAGCATCTCTTTTTACGAGATAAAGCTCAAATGCGACAAATATACTATTACGGTAGCATACGCAATCTTACATGTTAATTTTGCTGCACATGACACTGTGCTATCTCGGGCCACAACTGTGACAGTGCACGGGATCGATGACACAAACCCCTTCCATTGCCTTGCACCTGTCCACAGCCAACCAATTAAGTTTTGCAAAGTGGCAAGAGGCTGACCTAGTGGATCCCACGGCCAACAAGGCCATGTCACTTTCACCTGAAAAATAAAAATCCTCTGTCCTTTTTTAAAAAAAAATATTTTTATATTATCGCTTTTGTATTCATTATCTCTGTTTGTTCTTTCTTCTTCTCTTTCTCTGCCCGTCGTTGAGCGCAAGAAGCCAAGAACAAACCAAAAACATAACCAAAACAAAAAATCTGGAAGCACATCTTCTCTCTCACCATATCCCTCTGTTTCTCTCTCTCTCTCTCTCTCTCTAGAAACCTCGCTTTCTGGCTTCCTTCTCCTTTGAGCCCGCAAGTTCTCAGTCCTACCCACGGTCGGATTTGTGATGCCATGTTGACTTTCCTTTGATTCGAGGTTGGTTCTTATTTTTGTGTGTTTGTATATAATCTAATGCATATTTCGATCAATTAATCAAAAGCTTGGAGTTTTGTTGAATGATTTTTGATGGGTTCGTATCGTTTTTAATTGCTGTGTAACAGAATTGATTGGGGTTCATGTAAATCTAGTGGATTCAATTGGATCCGCTACGTGCGTTTTTGATTGAATCTGTCACTTGGGGGTTTTCAAATCTCACGGCTGTAGTCCAAATTCTTGGTGGGTTTTTTAGTTTTTACAGAGGAATGCCGCTCTTACCGAAAATCGATTCGATTCATATTCGTGAGGTGTGGAACGACAATCTGGAGGAGGAATTTGCTTTGATACGCAAAATTGTCGATGATTATCCGTATGTCGCCATGGACACCGAGTTTCCGGGCATTGTTATTCGTCCGGTGGGCAATTTCAAGAACAGTTACGACTACCATTACCAGACCTTGAAGGACAATGTGGATATGCTCAAGCTGATTCAGCTCGGCCTCACATTTTCCGATGAGCAAGGGAATTTTCCCTCTTGTGGAACTGATAAACAATGCATTTGGCAGTTCAATTTCCGCGAGTTCAATCTCAATAAGGATGTATTCTCCAGTGATTCTATTGAGCTTCTGCGCCAAAGCGGCATCGATTTTAAGAAGAACAACGAAAAGGGTATTGATGCAAAGCGGTTTGGGGAGCTCCTAATGTCGTCTGGGATTGTGTTGAATGATAACGTGCATTGGGTCACTTTCCATAGCGGCTATGATTTTGGATACCTGCTAAAGCTTTTGACCTGCCAGAACTCGCCCCAAACTCAAGCAGGGTTCTTTAATTTGATCAACATATACTTTCCAAAAATATACGATATCAAGCATCTGATGAAGTTTTGCAATAGCCTCCATGGCGGGTTGAACAAGCTCGCGGAACTGTTGGAAGTGGAGAGAGTTGGCATTTGTCACCAGGCAGGTTCGGATAGTTTGCTCACGTCCTGTACGTTCAGAAAACTGAAAGAGAGTTTCTTTAGCGGTTCGATGGAGAAGTATGCTGGTGTCTTGTATGGTTTAGGTGTGGATAATGGACAGGATACTTTCTGAAGAGAAAATAACAGGAAAAAGAGAACATGATGAGAAAGCTGGTTTCTTTCTTAACCTTGTCTGTGTCTGATACTGCATCTTCATGTACAAATTTGGCACAACTTTGGTACTTCTCATTGCTTGCACTTTTTTCGATTATTCGACTCACGGATTGGGTTGCATTTGCATATAAAAGCATGGTTCGGATGTTTGTTTTTTAGACTTTGAAGCATCCGTTCAGGATAGGTTAATTCAACTGTTGACGTGTGAAAACAATTACGTTCTGTTATGGCTAACACCCTTACTCTGTTTGCCTTCTCCTATAATAACTCAACCTTAATACGCTTTCATAGAGAAAAAACACGCTCTTTTTTACGAATAGATGGCGACTTTGAAGTTTTAGAGCTCTCCTGCAAGGGTTCAAACTCAAAGATGCAAGATTTGACAATCTCTGCCGAACTTTGACAACAGGACATCCACCACATTTCAGTTCCATGGCTTCTAATCGAAGGAGGGTATTCGCCATCATCTTTTCCATTTTCTCCATCTTCTTCTTGTGTAGATAGATTCGAGTCACACAACAATTTCCATTTTCTCCATCTTCCTTTTGTGTATATAGATTTGAGTCACACAACAATTTTGTTGGGCTTATGCATCCTCAACTCTACCTGTGTAAGTTTATCTGACATTGTTGGTCTTAAGTCTGGATAAAGGAGGAGAGGGAGGGCGTCAAGTAGTCAACAATCGGCATTCCTATCTTACGTTGAATCCTTGGGATGCGATCATACCAACTCACATGCACCGGATTCCATCTAAACTCCGAAGTTAAGCGAGTTTGGCGAGAGTAGTACTAGTATGGGTGACCTCCTAAGAAATCCTCGTGTTGCATCCCCCCACAGCCGACCCCACCTAGTGGGAAAAAGCTTTGTTGTGTTGTTGTTGTTTGTATCCTGGAGGTCGAAGTTGAGGGATATGGTGTTGCATCAGTTTGTGGATTTTGTCAAACCGTAATGGGCTTGAATCTTTAAAAAAAAAAACCGAAAAACTCGCGTCTCAACCTAATTGTTCACGTGTTTCTTAAAATAATATTATTTCATTGTAGTATTTTATGATAATTTCCTCGTAATAATTTTCCCAAACACTTAAGATATGCAACTAGGGATTCCATGGAATTTCTAATGAATATTTTCGTTTAAATTCACCCATTTCTACTTCAAGCAAGCCAAATTCCCATTCTAAGGTTTTGTTGCTGCCTTCCACCACAATTTGAGGCGCAGCCGCAGTTTCTATTTTGAAAACAATGAACAAATCCAAGGCCATGATTAGCGCCATTCAACGTTATCTCTACTTCGACTTTCCCACCAATTAGGGTTTAGATTTTGGTTTTTTTAATTCGGCGTAAAGATTAATTTACATATTAGACTGAGTTTGTGGGTAATTTAGGATTTTTATTTTAAACAAACGATATTATTCACATTCAAAGTGGACTATACCTAAATACAATATAAGTGTAAAAAGTAAGTTTGATGTAATAAAAATAATATGAGTTTAAATATTTCTTTGACCGTATTGGTTTTATTTTGCCTTACTATATTTTTGGAAAATAATAATGTGTATATCCTAAAGTAAAGTTCCCACTCCACTAGATTTTGATTTTGGTCAACTTACATAGTTTTGTCATTCTTAAAAGTTAAAGGGAATTGATATGCTTTTCAATTTTTGCTCTGATATGATGTGTGTTGTGATAGCTGACATGACATGACAAGACTTTATTTTATTTTTTTGCATATTTAAAATGTAACTCATCAAATTTAAGAGTCCTAAATAGGGGTTTAAATCCGTTAAAACAATTAAAAGAGTAGTCATCTCATTGTCTCTTATCGATATAGTTACTATTTCTCTTTTTTGTTAAACGCTAATTTTTGTCTCTTATCGATATAGTTACTAATTGATCGCTGACCGCATTCTTGAATTAAGGTATTACGAACTAATTACTTAGATTACTTAGTTGGAGGAAATAATTAATTGAATTAAGTTTAAAAGGGTGACTTAAGTTTAAAAACGTTGTATTAGATATGCTTTTATTTTCGATTGTAATAACAACGGTTGTACAAGAGATTTTTTTGTTTTAATAAATTTTTTTTCTATATAAAAAGGGCAATCTTGCATTTTCATGGTTTATGAGAATAGAAATTCTAGAAAATTCATCAAACGTGTCCTAATTCTATGTCTCCAACCAGGATACAGTTTTTAATGACCGTATCTAAGAACATATGGCATGTAACTTATTTCACCTAAAATTGGTGCTACAATGACTTTATTAGCCAATACAATACCATCAAAATCATACCATTACCCTCCAAATTCAAATATTACAAGGGCAAACTTGTAATTTGACCAAATTGATTTTCACATCTCGTCTCACCCGCTCTTTTATTGTTATCCATCACATTGAATAAATCAAACAAAATCGACCGTTATAATAAAATAAAAGTGTGTAAGAAGCTAAAAAAAGGGTATCAAAATCATCTCTTATTTTAGGCCAGCGTTCGAGAACGAAAGCGCCAATGTGCACAAAGGATGGGATTTTGATGGCGTGCGAGGCATAACCGAAAAAACCCAGGACACTAACTGGAGAGAGAGAGAGAGAGAGAGAGAGAGAGAGTAGGGTGCCCAACACTCGGGCTTAAATCCCTAAAACTTGGCTGCTTTGTTTTCTGGGTGGTTGTTGAAATGTCTTGTTCCTCTGAGAAAGAGCTGGAGGAGCAGCTCAAGGAGGCTGGAAATATTCTCCTCAACCCTCCTTCTGCTACCGAGGAGCTTCTCAAATTCCTTGGTGTAATGCCCCCTATACCCTCTCTCTCTCTCTCTCTCTCTCTCTCTCCCTCTCTCTCTGTGTTGTATTTTACTGCTTAGACAACACACACAGATAGATACACACATATGGTCATATACATGTTTACTGAGCTAATTTTCTTTGTTGGGTTTGATGAATTCACCGGAATGCTGAAGTGGGTTGATCATCATTTTGTTGAATTACTGACTGTTGGTGTTTTATAGGTTTCTGTGTGTGTATTTGGGTTTCTTTTGGGCTAATTGAAAACGTTAGAATACAAATGAGTGATGGCTTGAGATGGGTTGATCATCATTTTCTGAATTCTTTAGAGTCGGGCTTAAATGGGGGCTTATTTTTGCCCAATTTTTACCTAAAAATTGGCCTTTTAATGTGGTTTCGGTTTCTTGTTGATGTTTGTTTGCTCCAGTCACTATTGTGTTTTAAATGAACAGATGACTTTTATTTCCCAATTTCTTGTTGCCTATGATTTTTCATATTTGAATATTTGATTCACATTGTTGCTTATCAAAAGATAATGAATGTATACTGTTGCTTGTTAAAAGATGTTGCGTGTGTGTGCATGCGTGGCGGTGTAGGTTGTTTAACCTTCTATGACGTTACGCAAATTCATAATAAGTAAATTAATGATTTCTATACACTTCCAATAAGTACCTCCTCATCATTTCTGTTCAGATTTGATAATCTGCGAGATGCCTAAATAAAATCATACTTAGATATTGATAGGTCCAATTGCAAAGACATGTTTGTTTACTTGATGATGGTACATTTCCAAAGGTTTAAACTTATTGATGATCTTTCCTTATTGTTAGAGCCTGTTTGTTCGTCTGGTCTTAAACTTGATTATCTGTGGTTTTTCTTTTTAGTCTCTTAGTTTCACAAGGCCCTACATATTTTGGGTTATTAGACTCACCTTCATTGAGTGCTTATCTTTGAGCAGCAATTTGGCTTGCCCAAGCAACCTAGTGGTTCTCGGGTTCAAGTTGTGAAAACTGTCTCCCTAGAAACAGTCACAGTAGGCTGCCCTTTTTTGGACTGGCTTGCATGTGAGAGGGGTTTAGCCTGTTTTGAAATTGATATACACTTTTCCTCTACGTCTGACAAGTAAGGCTTGAGATGATCATTTTCTTAAATTAGATAAAGTTTATCTTCGATGCCATTCAGTTGGTTTATTACTCCTTAGTATTCTAAGGCTTGAGATGATCATTTTCTTAAATTAGATAAAGTTTATCTTCGATGCCATTCAGTTGGTTTATTACTCCTTAGTATTCTGTCTGCACTAAATCATATTGCTCACATATGGCTTATTTCTTGGAAGCCTATCTTCTCTAGAAGATTTAGCCAGTGAGAACTGGAAGATGGAAGCGGCTGCTTTACATGGTTAACGGCTCGTACCTAAGAACTTTGCTATAGTGATATTGCTGATTCTTGTGGTGCTTCAAGCATGTCTAGTCCACCTTGCTCTTTCACAGATTTTACTAGATAATTACAAATGCAGTAGTTAATTGTTCTGTCTTGATGATATGCATAAATCTATTTATGATTTGTCCTCATTTAGTTGTTTTGTTCGTTATACCTATCTCATGTATTTTTCTTTTTTCTTTATGGCTTTTCAGATTGCGAAAACCTGAGATCCTCTGTTTTTTTTTTTGTATTTTAGGAAGCTGAGGGTTTGTTGTCAAATGTTGAGCAAGCACCACACAGGTCCATGCAAGATGCACTCCTACCGATAATGAAGGCATTAATTTCTGATGAGCTGTTTAGGCACTCAGATATGGATGTGAAGCTATATGTTGCTTCTTGCATTACTGAGCTTACGAGAATAACAGCACCGGTTCCTCCATACAATGATGAATGGATGAAGGTATTGTTGCTCTAGTAAACTGTCTTCAATCTAAAGTAATCGTTAATCATTTTGAAGTTCTACATCTTGCATCCTCCAATGCATATATTTTAATTTTATGGGCTCTTAGGACTTCATTTTCCATTTATTGGTTGAACAGGAAATCTTTCAGCTGACTGTAGCAGCTTTTGAGAAACTTTCGTATGTTTCCAGTCCCTTTTATAGAAAGGCAGTTTCCATTCTTCATATTGTGGCAAAGGTCAGGTCAAGCTTGCTGATGCTGGACCTTGGTTGCAGTGCATTAATTCTTAAGATGTTTCAACATTTCCTGAAAATAACCCAGTAAGAGCTTTATTCATGCTGTTTATGATGTTACTTATTGACTTCTGATGATGCTTTGCTGGAATGTGAATCGTGGTTGAATTGAGAAATGAAATTTGTTGTAAACTTTCATTTTTGGTAAGTGAAGTTTTCTCTCATATAATGAGCTTTAATATATATTAGATATATACAACTACCAGAAACTTCTGTAATATTATCTGGTATTTTGATATGGAAGCATAGGAATTTTCGTGTCACATATTTATATATCGTGAATGGCATGAGAAAAACTGTACTGCTCCACTTCTTATTAATAGTTAGGCAATTGTTTGCATGGAATAGTAGGGTTTTTATTTTTGTTATTTCAAGTTGATTCCTAGAGGTTTCTTGTCTTTTATTGTCCGTATCAAGAGCATGCTATTCTGAAGTGGGGCAGAATTTTCACGTTAATACTGGGCATGTTTTCCGTCAAACCACAGTTAGCTAATCAGAGTTAGCGAGGTAAAACTGTATGTTTTATGCACCTAGAAATTATTGATGAGTTTCTTCAGATTGTATGGTCTGCACTGATCTTGAGCCAGAGATTTGTAGGGTTTCCTATCTGCACTCCAAGAAGAGGGAATAACAAAAAAACACTGGAAAATTTATTCATAGTTTCATTTGCGTAATGAATTTAGACAATTTTCCTCATCAGATCATCATCTTCACAGTTTCTCTTGTAGATACTTTCTGCTCTCAAAGATCCATTTTGAACTTTTACTCTCATTTGACTAAAAAACCAAGGTTCTAAAAGACGCTAGGCGCTAGTCGGGTGGCGAGCTGAGGCCTAGCGCCTAGGCGCCTAGGCGGACTAGGCAGATTTAACTAAATCCAT